TATTTTTTCCCCCAAAGCCCCAGGAGATCGTTGTATGTCATAGCTGCACATCCTTCTAGTTGCTGTATGTGGGACGCAGCCTCAGCACGGCCAGAGAAGCGGTGCGTCGGTGCGCGCCCGGGATCCGAACCCGGGCCGCCAGCAGCAGAGCGAGCGCACTTAACCGCTAAGCCACGGGGCCGGCCCCGAAATATTTTATAATAAAACAACATTTTTTCATATTAATTTCTAAAAAAACAATCTCAGTGAGAGCATTAATATACCACTGAACTGTTCAGAAGGGAGGTTTGAGGAATTTTTTTCAAGGACTTGTAAACTATAAAGATCTTCTAAGTAAAAGCCTGTGGATACCTTGCTGAAAATTAGAAAAGTTGAAACCAGAGTTAATACCAAAACAAAATGTACAGTAGGAAATTAGTAAAACACCATCTTAATTATCCCAAGGTTTTTCCCTAAATTAGCCTCCAAATTGCAACCTCAGCATATCAAAAGAATTTCAAATGAGAAACTTAACCCTAAGCTTCTTGTTTAATATATATATACACGCCTTGTACAGGGAATATTCTCTTAACTATCTCCTTTCAGATCACTACATCCCATAACGACATGGTAGAGTCTAAAATGCACACCTCTTTTATAAAGAAAATGTATTCACAAGTGGAACTTCCCTCAGAAAACATCATGATGCCAAGTGTAAAGATACAAGAACATCTAGTCTTGACTCATGTCACAACCATATTTTGGATTTAAAAAGTGGCAACAGATTCTCAAACACACAAACCACTGCCAGGAAATTATACAGATGAGGATTAGAGCACTTGTAATTCAGTTTCTAAAGGGAAATTAAAACATAATACAAGGTAAGGTATAACACAAGGATTCAATAAAAAAAATTTATGAAAGAGGATAATAAAACACTATTATTCTGTATATGTTGCTAAAATATCAGAGCAGAGAATTGCTGAGGGTGATTTTTAGCTCTATTAAGACTTATTTCAGACTGCCATGCCATGAAATTGGCAAGAATTGTATTAACACAAGCCTAAATCCTATAATAGGTCCTTTTTAAGATTCTGAGACACCCTATGGTTCCTCATGATGTGTGTTGTTCTCCTTTGTTGCAAAGAACAAAACGATAAACCAAATTTGTTCAACTACAAAAAAAAAAAAAAGAATTGTATGTAAGATATTTTAACAAAACTTAACAAACATGTCACAATTTCCTAAAGCCTAAAACTGGCTAAAATATGCACTAATAAAAATGTAAAAGATAAATAAATAACAATCATCTTAAAATATGCAGTTAGTTTTGCTGAATATGAAAAATATTCTGTTTTTATTAGTTTGTAGAAGCATTATTTTATTCAATGTTTTATTACATCAGAATTTTAAAAAATAAGCTGACTGAATTTTAAACAATACTTAAAAATATCTAACTCATATTTTAAGTCAATGCAAGTTTTCACTAATACTCTATATTAGTATCTTAATATTTGGGGAATTTTTGGAAACAGACACATTGTTTATAAAACTGTCTTATAGACCTTAGAAAGAAGCAAGTTTAATAATGGTTCATAAAACTTTACAAATCTTTCTAAACTGTTTTTTAATACAACGAAAATTATATATAGACTGATTTTTAATCAAAATTTCAATTATTTTACAATTTGAAACAGAAGTAAATATGTCTCATTCTTTTTCTGAGGATTAACATTCATCAGGATTACTACAACTGATAACACTTTATCACACATACCCACACAGACACAATTAGAAGGGACTCTCTCTGGCTAGTTCTGCTTTAAAAATACTAATGAACTAATAATGCAGTTGCATTTACATTCATGTTTTGGCCCTTTTATTCTTAAATCTTTCACATTTGTAACCCTCCAACTTCCTATTCTCTAACTCTGTCAAATCACAATATTGACGTGTTTGTCTTTCATTTCCACATCCAAAGCTCAAGGTGGGTTTTTTCAACCAGCTTATTCATAAATATTTGAACTTCTCCAAGATGTGTTGTTTTGGTTGAGTGATTTACAATGGAGAGAGAGACAGAGAGGAGAGACGTTGTGACTTCCAAGTCAGAGCCCTGGTTTTAAGACACAAGAATTAATATGAGGAGCTTGATTAATTTCTGCAGCATTTTGCTTGTCTATTTAACTTTTTAATCCTCTTTCATATCTAGACAATGTGCTTGGCCTAAGAGATGCTTCTTTTAAGAGTCTTAGGAATTCCTGGAAAGGGCTAGGGAGTAAAGTTAGTGGATTTGAAAATTTTCAGTTCTCTCTTCTTTTAATTAAAGCTTCTGATCTATTAAAATGGCAGGAACAGTGCTGTGTCTCGGCTGTGGCCTCGTTACAGACAGGCGCTAATTCATCTAAGCAGAAGTCTCGCGATGACATTTTGCTTTGGTCACAGTGAGAAGTGAGGTAGGAGAAGAGGAGTCTCATCCAGGGGGTAGACACTCAACACAAAGGGAAAATAGTGAAGTGGAAGCTGGGGTTCAGGGTGACCATGCACGTCAGATTCTTTGCCCACCCCCATCCCAACCAGCACAGCAGAAAACTCTCCTCCCACGATGCTAACTCTTTCTCGCTTACTTCCCCTCGTAGCTGCTCCCAGCAAATGGTCACCTCTTGTTGCCATGAAGTGCCAATTTTGGACCCACTCCAAATGTATTTGGGCAGTAGAACAAATAAACACTCACTCTTGAGTGAGTGTTGGAAAGTTTTTAGAGTAATAGTACATTAAGCAGTTGCTAGAAGTACGGTAGTCCTTCCTTATCCCAGGGGGATACATTCCAAGACCCCCAGTGGAGGCCTGAAACCACGGATAGTACCGAACCCTAAAAATACTATGTTTTTTCCTATACATCCATACCTATGGTAAAGTTTAATTTATAAATTAGGCACAGTAAGAGTTTAACAATAATAACATGATAAACTAGAACAATTATAACAATATGCTGTAATAAAAATTATTGTAGATCTTAGCAACCTCAGCATATGATTTTTTTTCTTTCCTTATTAAGTCAAGAGCTTTCACTCTTTCACTTCAAGGAAGCATTTGGTGGCTTCTCTTTGGCATATCTCAATTGCCAGCATCACTACTCTTGTGCTTTGGGGTCATTACCAAGTAAAATAAGGGTTACTTGAACACAAGCTCTGTGATACCATGTCCGGGCGGGGAAAATCCCCTTTCTTTCCTTCTTGTGTTCTTGTGGCTGGACTAATAGTAACACTGCTGCAAGACCAGATTAACAGGAGAAAAACCCAGTTTAATACGTACATATTGGAGACCATAAAGAAATGATGCTCAGAGAGTGAACAAAACAGGCAGTATATATATCTTTTACACAAAGAAACATAAATTTGTGAAAAATTGACAGGGCAAAGAAACTTAGGTTTGGGGTTGGTAACTAGTGAAGAATTTAGGCAGAGTTTAGGCTTGAGGTAGTAAATTAGCAAGGCTTGTTTATTCAGATTTCTCAGCCTTGAATTCTCTAGCTCTGGTGATAAGGATGCGGGGAGAGCACCTTTCGCAGGAAGGATTTACTTCCTGCTTGCAGGGGAACAGAGACAGCAGGGTCAGAATGCCCTTTCTGCTTCTCAAGTAACTTTAATTCTGAGTAATTAATATGCTACTGTGGGATATTTTGGTGTCACCTGCCCTGGGCCCCAACAACCACGACTGTTGATCTGGTAACCAACTCAGCTACTAAGTGACCAACGAGCAGGCAGCCTACACACAGTGTGGATCCACTGGGCAAGGAGATGATTCACGACCCAGTGGGATAAAGCAGGGTGGCGTGAGATCTTATCATGCTATTCATAATGGCCTGCAATTTAAAATGTATGCATTATTTATTTCTGGAATTTTCCATTTAATATTTTTGGACCATGGTTGACCCTGGGCAAGTGAAACCATGAAAAGGGAAACCATGGATAAGGGGGGACTATTGTATACACTATACTGAGAGGACAGGCACTGAAACCAGCCATCAGTTAGCCATTGATGATTAAGCAGCTAGTAACTATGGGGGATTGGAATTGGCCACCTCGAAATATGCCTCTGCCTGAAAGACACTTTGGCCCCCACCCCCAATAACTAAGCAAAGGAGTTTGGGATGGGAGGCCTGCCCCCAGAACAGGCCATCACCATAGACATCTCTGGGTATCGGGGATCCTTGCTAAGCCCATTCTTAGCTCTGGATGCCCTTTATAAGAGACATTTACATTTGTAAAGGAAATCTCCATTTGTAAAGGTATCTTCTTCTCTGTCCCAGGAAGAAGGAGGGGAATGGCTTTACCTAGAATCTTATCAGAAGGGAAGGTGAGGACTTAAATCTGCACGATAAATTTACCCATTGTTAACTGTGCCGTTTAGGCAATCTACTATCTGACTCCCACTAAGTTCCTATAGGTACATCTCCCTGGTGCCGGGTCGCCATGGTAATGGGTGTTTGAGCTATTTTTTTCGGGAATTGGAATCCCTTGTCCACTTCAGGCTGGTTGAGACCACCAACACATCAACTGGGCCCACACAGACATATGTCCGATAAGCGACCTTTTGACATCAAGAGGTTACAACTCCACCTTTGGAGCACGCTAATGCCACCGTTCTGTGAACATGCATCCTATGAAGAGGCCTGAAGCCTGACTACACTTGCGCAGATCATCAGTTACCTCATCTCTCCTCACCTCCAATCATTTCAGACCACTTTGCCCCCTACCTCATAAATATCCCCTAGTCCCTATTTTCGGGGAAGTGGATTTGAGATTCATTCTCCCTGTTCCCCACTTGGCTGCCTTGTGATTAATAAACCCTCTCTCTCTGCAATCTCGTCTTCTCAGTGTTTGGCTTTCTGGGCGGCAGGCAAAAATGGACCTGGTACGGTAACAGAACCATGGCTTTCTTTTTAAATTTTTGTTTTCCACTGCCAGCATCATTTATCACACCTGGCACACCTCAGGGTTCTGATAAATGTTTGATACAATAATGGATAAATAATCTTAAAGTCACCATAGAAAGAAGCATTGTCTTTGGGGTCTGATTTGCTGGTGGTGGTGTTCTACGTCTCTCTTCTGGCCTGTTCACACATCCTGTTGTGTCAATAAGTGGACTCTCTGTGGAAACTCTTTAAGTAACCAAGATGTTAATTCTTTCTCACATTTTGTTGTAACCAAGATGAAAACAGATTCATAGGGGATTAAGACAGACTTGCACGAAAGTTGAAATGTATTCTCTATCAGTCTGAAACTGACGAGGCACTTGGGTTGAACTCTGCAGGCGTAGAATCTGATATTTCATTAACATTTCCTGGTAGCTTTCAAAATGTTACCCAGCTCTCAGGCAACAGTCCAGGATTACTGCCATGGCTAATTAAAAACCTGCCAAAGCTGATGGTCGTTCTTTTAAAGTTAGAAAAAAGCATTGAGTCAGTTCAACATTGTGGTTTTCAAGACTTCCACATCTAGTTATGATGGACTAGGTAATTTGGACCAGCCCTGAGGACTGAGAACAACTTTAAAAGATGGGCACAAGATAAAAATCATCTGCTTGAAGGCTCAGAGGGATAACAGACGATGAGGAATATCAGGCCAACATTGGAAAGAGAAAGAGACTCCTCCCCTAATGGCTGGGTTTGCCCTAAAGACATTTGCTGATCCTAGTGAGGCAGCTAAAGACTAAACAGAATTTTCACAACCTTAAAGGGGTAAGGGGCCACAGATGGATTTTGGTAAACCAGCTGCATCTTGGATCAGGATCCCAAATCCTATACCTCAGGTGAAAGCATGACCAAAAATTACACCAGCCTCTCTCTGACTGCAGCCATGGTTTCAAACTCTCCAGATAACCCAGAAAAATCTCATTATGAAATTGGATTAAAATGATATCTGACTGTTGATACTCTTAGGTACCTGTAGAAGCAAATAAAAATTCTCCCAGAGAAGTATAATATTGTTCTATGCCTCAAATTATTTCTAGAAACATTTTTTCAAACCAAAGCCACACACAGAGTCAATGATATAACATAGTCCATGAGGAGATAAGAAAACATGAGAGCAGCAGAAAAGAAGAGACAGCGGGGAGATCCAGAGGCTCCAGAGATTATATGGGAATTATCAGATACCTTGGATTTCAAAATCACTAAAAGTAATTTAAAATTAATTTCACGTCAACAAAGTTATTGAATACTGTTCTAGATAAATTTAGGAATATAGTTACCAATAGGACATAGTTCACACATTTGGGAAATTTACAGAAAAAAATGTATGCGTTTTTTCTTTTTTTATTTAGTAAGCATGTTTATGAGGGGACTGCTGGGCCTTAAGGATAAAATAGCAAAAAAGGAAAATGATAAAGGCAGTTTCTATTCTCACTAAGTTTCCGTGCAAGTGTGGGAGAGAGGCATTTATCGAAGAATGTCAATAATCAGCGCAAAATCAGCCTGCACTTCTCTGAAAGAGAGGCAAATACTGCTCTCAAAGTAAATATTAGAAATAGGGAGAATTGACTGAAGGGAGGGAGGAGGAGGCCCACCTAAGAAAGGAATGATTGGGCTGTGAGGAAGCATGGGATTTTATTGGTGTTATCTTCTAAAATGGTAACTTGAGTACATATCTCCTTGACTTGAAACCTTTAGCAACTTCGTATCCACTACAAGATAAGTTCTGAGTAGCAGGCATATTAAATGGACTGAATCAGATGGTACGACCAATCTGCAGCACAGATATAGAAACAAATCCAGCTCAGTCTGAATTAAAAATTCAGTTTAGCACCTAATTCAAAGCTAGGGGCTCCTGCAGCAGGAAAGGTGTGGGGGAGCATGGTCTGTTCTTTTATCTTCCTCTGATTCCTCCTCTCATTCTGTTGCTTCTAACTCTAGGGTCTGGGCTAGTGAACAGGGACTAAGAAAAAAAGGAGGAAGACTCATTTAGTCAGACAGGGCTATATGTAATTCTCTCTTAAGCCCAGTGCCCTGCCAGTGGCAGCATCAAATGCTGGCTCACTTGTGAGCACCTTTGTGGGCTCTTTGGAGGAATCTCCACACTGCACAATTCATGCAGTGGGTGAAGTAGTCCTGTTGAGCCTGTTTTGGCCCCTTCCACACCCCTCGTCCCCTACTCAACAGCTCTTGTCCCAATAACTCAACCCTGTGTCTTATCCCTGAGGCACCCTCACCCTGGGAGGCAGCTCTTCCTGGGTGGTTATGTATGAGGCACACTTGGCCACAACAATACTGGGAGAGGAACCCACCCTGCCTTGCTGCCTGTGTGCGGAGCTTTTCCCAGCTTCTCACCTTCAGGATTCTCTGGTGAGGAAATACATACAGCCTCTAGGTCTATGTCTATTTCCAAGGCTTCTCTCCACTCTGGCAGCTCCACAGGGAAGGGCCTAAGAGTTTCTATAGTTGAACAAGCATCAACTTAGGGGTGAAATTCTGGCCTCTTCTTTTTTTTTTTGCAAGGGAAGATTTGCCCTAAGCTAACATCTATTACCAATCTTCCTCCTTTTTTCTTCTTCTTTCCTCCCAACAAAGCCCCAGTATATAGTTGTATATAGGTGTAAGTTCTTCTAGTTCTTCTGTGTGAGCTGCTGCCACAGCATGGCTACTGACAGAGAAGTGGTGTGGTTCTGCCCCCGGGAGCCAAACCCGGGCCGCCGAAGCCGAGTGAGCTGAGCTTTAACCGCTAGGCCATCAGGGCTGGCTCGGGCCTCTTGCTTTTGTAGGCATCCTCTAAATGTCTCTCTCTCATTCATTTATTCATTCACTCATTTATTCTCGCTCCATTTGGGAAGAGAAGGGGAAGAAAGGAGGAAATGCAAAGTACTTTTCCTGTAAGCATAAGATTCCCTGCCTCTGTCAATCCCCTCTTCAACAAACTGAATTCTCATATAAGCCAGAAGGAGGGGTGGGGAAAAGAGGAGAAAAACTGCTTTGGACTCATCTTAATAAGATCTCATAAGGTGTCTGTTTCTCCTCTTAACAGCAAGTACCCTCAATTTGGGGGCTTTAGACAAATTTGGAAAGAACAAGGAGAATTGTATTCAACATCCAGTCACGTCTGATTTCCTAATTATGACTCAAAAGACATTCATGATCTGACTCCTGATTACCTCTCCTGTCTTTCTGCATACTCCTACACTCTGGGTGTCTGGACTATCACAATATCCCAAACAGGCCTGTTTCTTTCATGCCTCCCTCAAACTATTATCACTTCTGCTCGAAATCACTATTGTTCCCCACTTGGTCAGCCAAACTATTGATCTTTCCAGTCACCCAGCAAGGGTGTCTTCTGTGAAAACAGTCTCCTTCATTATCTCTTTGCTTCCTCATATGTATCTATCATGGCAAATATTAAATTGAAGGGTAATTATTAAATTCAACCAAAATTTATTGAGTATCTACCAAGAGATGAGAATCTCTGCCCTTCTCAAGTTTAGAATCACATTCATCTTGGAACTCCAGGAGGGCAGAAGGTATATCTTATTTACCGCCTGTTCTCAGACAGAAACTAAATACCCTTAAGCATTGAGTGGTAAGTTAATGAGTTGGTGAAATAGATGTTGTAAAAGGAAGAATACGAACATAAAGCAAGCACCATGGGAACACAGAAGAGAGAGGGACTCCCACGAAAACATCAGAAATGCATTTTGGAGGAAGTGATATTTGTTCTAGGCTTTGAAGGAAGGTGCTATGAGTTAAATTGTGTCCCCTAAAAATTCATATGTATTGAAGCCCTAACCCCTAGTACCTCAGAATGCGACCTTATTTGGATATAGAGTTATTGCAGATGTAGTTATTTAAGATGAGGTAATATCATTACTGAGTAAGGGCTCACTGCCCAATGCGCATAGAAGCCAATACTGTGGCACTGGCTTTTGAGAAAAGAAAAAGCTTTTATTGAGGGGTTGACCGGCAAGTAGACAGGAGGCAAGCTTTCAAATCTATCTCCCTGATCCAGGGTTCAGGGTGAAATTTAAGGAGTTAGGGGAATTTCAAACTTGGCAGAAGCTGATTGGTTCGTCTTGAATCAGTCCATATATGGTAATCAAGCTACTTGGGCTACTGGAAGCCAGATTTTCCTTATTGAAGGACTTCTCACTTCAAAGGGCTCCAGTGGCAACATTTCTGAAGATTCTTGATTCCAGGGCCATCCTGGGTCTATGGGTTCCCGCCTGGCACATGTCTAACGCTGTCTCTGTTGTTGGGAAAGGTTTGATTAGTCAACAACCTGTTTTAAGGAAGCAATATTAGTTTAAGCCAGTCAATGTTTTATGTGCTGTTTCAGTACTGGGGTAGGGTGGACCCCTAATCCAATATGACTGATGTACTTATAAAAATGGAAAATTTGAATGCAGACATGCACACAGGGAGAATGCCATGTGAAGATAAAGGTAGAGATCAGGGCAATGCAGCAGAGGCCAAGGAATGCCAAAGACTGCCAGTAAATCACCAGAAGCTAGGAGAAAGGGGCATGGGACAGATTCTTCCTTATAGCCCTCAGAAGAAACCAATCCTGCTAACACCTGATTTCATGTGGCCTCCAGAACTGCGAGACAAATTTCTGTTGTTTAAGCCACTCAGTTTGTTGTTCTTTGTTCTAGCAACTCTAGCAAACTAATGCAGAAGGGAAGGGTTTAATCAGGTAAATACCAAGATGTGCAATACACCTAGGACAAACCTAGAGTGGGAAGAATGCTGAGCGCATTCTGGGAACAGCTGATATTGCTCAGGAGTGGAACAGATGTTGCGTGGGCTGGGGGGCCTGTATGCAGCAGAAGTTAAGATTATATCAGAAGTTTGGAGGCTGACTGTTGAAGATCTTGACTGTCATGCTGAAAAGTTTGGGAGTTTTTTAGGTAAGAGGGACATTTCACAAATTGTTAAGTTGGAGAGAATCTTATCACTCATGATTCAAACATTCATTTCAACAAGTACTTATTGAATGACTGCTACTTTGTTCTAGGCATTGAGGATACAGCGGAGGGAGAGAGACAATAAATACATAAAACAAACAAATAAATGTCAGATTGAGATCATTGTTGTGGAGGGAAAAAGCCAAGGTAATAAGTGGGGGAAGATATATAAGTGTATGTTGAATAATGTTATCAGTTGAAGAAAAACAAACCAGGAGGAGGAGATGGAGGAAGAGAGGAAGGAGGCAGAGAAGGGTACATTATTTGAGGACAGTGGTCAGGGAAGATGTCTCTGATAAGTGTCACTTGAGATCAGCAGGAAGTGGGGACCAAGTTGGGCGGCATTTGGAACATTATCAGTGCTGGCCCCGTGGGTATCGGTGGGAGTGGGTGGTGTTTGCCTTATGGTGTTTGAGGGAAAAACAAGGAAGCCATTGTAGCTGCCATGCAGTGAGCAGAGGGAGGGATTTTAGGAGATGGAAATCAGAAAGTTTGGGAGGAAGTGAGAGGTAGGATATAACGATGAGAAGTAATTAGAGCTTGCTAACGCTTGGTGCTTTTCACTTGGGATTGCACATGAAAAGGTCGGGCCATCCCAAACTGACTCAGTCAAACCAGTATGAATTCAGTCAAGACCCAGGTGTACACTTCCTGCCCTGGAACAGCCAAGGAGATGTGAAGCTATCTCACGTGCTACTGCACAACTGTTAGCATACCCAAAGAAATGGAGGGTCTGATGACACATTCAGCTCTTTCAGCGAACAAAAGCAATTTCAACATTGTTGGGTGTATGGGTAGTGCTTCTAAAGTAAGGGCTGGATTTTTCACCTCGGAAGAATGATGAATTATTGAAAAGCACTCAGCTTGATTCTTTTTTCCCTGCAACACATATTTTCTTGTAGCATTTAATACATGGGAGCCAGGAAACTCCGCCAAATGTTATGTATAGAAAACGTTCTGAACATCTTAAGAGTCAAGTCAGCAATAGAGGTGATTGGATATTTACATAATTAGAAAGCATGGTCAGAATTTGAATAAATCATTATAGACACTGTCTCCACAGAAAGCCCTAAAGCTCTCACCTCACTCCGAATTAATGCAAAGGGAAGAATGACATCAAATTACATACCAAACTCCAGCTGTAATAATTACTCAGACTTCAGTCCATAACCTGGCCAATTTTAAATTAGAGAGAAACCATACTTTGCAGGTATCCATGCCTATCATTTGATTAACATTTACAAACAAAAATGAGTTCTCACAGCTCTCTGGTGAGGCATGAAATATTTTATTTTTCTCTAGTTAGAGGCAGAGAAATTTGTAAGAGTCACTTGAAAGATCTTTTTTTAATGATTGCACAAAAATCTGGGATAAAGCAGAAATTGAACTTGGTCCTATGCTCTGGTTGAGAGGACAACACTCATTTCCAACTTCCTGGAGGTTTGAATTCCAGCCATCATGGGGAGACTGACAAACCTTATCTAAATTGCCATTTTTCAAAAGCTTGCTGCAAATGTGGTAGGGGAAAATGGTCCCCCTCCCAACTCTCACTCTTATATAAATAGAACACACTCTCATTAGGATTTCATTTTAGATTCATTGGAAAGGACTTGAGTTTCACTTCTGAAGTTTCTAACCAGGTATAAAGAATACTCATGGGAAATTAGAAAACGTTTTTGAAAAAAAAATGAAACTAAATACTGCTTCAGTCCAGGTGTCATTAAAATCAGTTTCTGTTTTTGTTTTCCTGTATTCTCTTGAACAGGGAAAGCAAGCGATTTTAAACTCTTCAAGACCATCACTCTTTTCTACATAGAAGGCAGGATTCATTGGTCTGAATTAGAAAGATGGTACAACTGGAAAGGATCTTAGAGTTTATCTGGTTTAACCTTTTACTTTAAGAGCCATTGCCCAAGGGGCTAAATAACTTGTCTTAGGTGACACAGTAAAAAGTATTTCCCTGAAATTAAGTATGATTTTGAGATCCTGATTTGAAGTTTTCTGTTTGAAATGCAATATTTAAGCTCTTAGGGACCGAACTAGATTTCAAAACCCCCAGGCCTGGCATCACGGTCTCCAGGAAGTAGGATAATGATGCCTCGGATAGATCATGTATGAAATGTGTTTGGCATGTAGGTGTTTAATAAACATTACCTGTTATTATTAAGAAATAGTTTTCGGCTGCCTGCAAACATTAGGCAGCTCTTATATGCCTCTATGTTTATGATGTGAAGATCCTCCAAGGCTCAGTGCTATGACAAGAAGAATTGCTTAGCTATAAAGCCACAGGGAGATTTCAGGACACAGAATATAAGGTAACTATGCAACTCCATCATTCTTTACTGACATCAAAACGAGAGCATCTGCCATCTCAGACATCCTTTGCTGGCCTATTTGAAGGATACCTGAGATTCTGGCTCAGAGTTCTTTGCCAGGAGCTTCCCCGAAGAATGAGACAACTCAAAGGGGCTCATTCCGTGTGTGCTTCATAGGCACACTGGGTGGAACTCCTCACAAGCTTGCATGGAAGCTTTGGTCTGAGTCTGAGCTGGAGGCAAGGTACAACCTGATTTGTGCCAACACTGACAATGTTATACCCTATTCTCCGATTCTTGCCCAATTATGTCAGGAGTGGAATCCCTGGCTGAGGGAGGAGGAAGAAAGAAGAAAAGGGAGACTATTTCTAGGTCTGGACATCCTTCCTTTCCACCCCTTGGGTTCTGGGTGGCTGTTCCCTCTATCTTCATAGCATCCATCACGAAGGTTGTTAAGTAATCATTGTTTTAAAGTCTATTCCTGTGCAAGACTATGAGTTTTATAAGAATAGGAACCATTGGTCTATTGCTTTTCCTTGGTGTCTAGCACGGTGCCTGGCATAAAGCAGACCCTCAGGAAATGCTGTTGGGGAAACAAATGCGTGCATGCATTCTTTCTGCTAACAGCAAATGGAGTATCCTCGGACCCTCTCTTTGCGGACAAGGAATGGAGGCGGTTGGAGGAGGAAAACGTTTATTGAGTATCGCCTCCATTTTATGCATTTTCACATGTTACTTCAGGAAAAGACTGCTCACAAAGGGTGGACAAGAAAATGTTGGCCAGCTGCTCGTCTGACTAACAGCCACGTGCATTCCACGTCCCGTGCGCTAAATTTGTTTGCTGCTGACTTCTCCTACCGTTCATCTGGGAGTACTCAAATTTGGAGTCATTTTAGTTAAGCACTAATTAACCAATTAGCAACTGTCAACTTTTTTTCTTTCTTTTTTTTAGGGTCTCCAGGATTCATGGCTTCTTTTCTATGTTAAGTTTCTAAGAAGTGGCTTATGTATGTGGAAATCCTATCTTTGTAAATGAAATATAAGTGGAAAATTCTTCCTATTTCCTCCTGCTCCCTGAAATCACAGACCCTAACCATGTCCCAAAGTCCTTGTCCCTCTTGTAGGTGGTGGTATTTGCTCCCCTCAAAACCCCGCCTACCTCACCAAGAGAAAAAATAAAGGTCTGGATAAACCGTGTAAGAAAATAGACATAGATGGAGAGGGAGAGACATGATTTCCAATTTATATTCTATGATACATTTATATTGATGATGATAATAAAGCTTAGCTCAAAGACACTTGAGCTGAAGTAACAATGGCAGCAGCCATTTCTTGAGCACGTGTTTGAGGAGATGTCCCGTTTCCTGACTCACTCTCAATAGACCAGGGTTCTGGTGACTCTGCCACTTATTAGTTCTATGACCCTGAACAAGTTACTTAACCTCATTACATCTGTTGCTTCGTTTGTAAGATAAGGATAATAATAGTGGCAATTAAATTAGATAATACATACCAACTGCTTCTCACAGTGCCTGGTATACAGCTAAAGGCCAAATAAAAAGTAGCCCTTCTAAGTATTCACTCAACAAACATTTATTGAGCATTGCTGTATAACAGGTATAATATTTGATGCAGGGGATAGAAACGCTTTCTCGTTTCCTCTAGATTTTAAGGCCATTTAGGCATAGAATTATTTTGAAAATGAAGTACTCTAAATATTGGAATTGTTGGGGCCCAGGACAGGCCGCCTCAAAATGGCATACTGACTATTATGAGATAAAGTTGTTTAAAAAGCCAAGAGGATATTCGAGCCACCTGTCTCTTTTCCTCCTGAAAGCAGGAAATAAATCTCCCGGGTGAAAGGTGCTCTCCCTGCATTCTTATCACCAGAGCTAGAGAATTCAGGGCTGAGAAACCTGAATAAACAAACCTTACTAATTAACTACCTCAAGCCTAAACTCTGCCTAAATTCTTCACTAGTTACCAACCCCAAATCTAAGTTCCTTTGTCCTGTCAATTTTTCACAAATTTATGTTTCTTTGTGTAAAAGATACATATACTGCCTGCTTTGTTCACTCTCTGAGCATCATTTCTATATGGTCTCCAATATGTACGTATTATACTGGGGTTTTCTCCTGTTAACCTAGTCTTGTGTCAGTTTTATTAGTAGTCCAGCCGTAAGAACAAAAGAAGGGAAGAAAGGGGATTTCCCCCACCCACCCCGACAAGACTATTTCCCACATGTGTATTTCCCTTAGAAAGGGTGTCCCTCACACCTTTGGCCAGGACTCATAGACAAATCAAAGTGTCATCATTTATCCAGTTAATCTAAGAGTGTAGAAAGTCTAGTGGATTCATCAGGATAATGAGAAATTAGGCCAGAATAATTCTCTAAATGAACTGGGAAATTGTTGACTGTTCACAATGGATTCTTTAGCTACCTAATATATGAACACCCTTCTGATTATGGGGACTTCCCCACTGTGTAAAAATGCAGGATCTCCCACCAGACAAGCGTAAAGATCCGGACACTCTCTTCTCACCCTCCAGCAATAGGCATGTGACTTGGACAATCAGAAGCTCTCACCTTGGACTTTGAATCTTGAGAGAATTGGGCAAAAAGACAGGGACAATTGATACTGTATTTCCAGAAGCAAGGTTGTGAGTCTAACGATGGCTGTCTGGATTGTCCAGTAATGGTGATGGTGGTATAGATGCACTCACTGGACTGACCTGTGGCAGGTCCAGGCTGTTTCTTGCTGCCAGTGCTTCCTGATTCTGGCCTGGTTTCCAGGCCCAGTTCTCCATTCTTCCCAAGGATCTTGTGAGCTCCCAAAATCCTTCCAATAATTTTTTTGCTTAAATTAGCTAAAGTTGATTTCTGTTGCTTGCAACCAAAAGTCCTAACTGAAACACTATTGTTCTTTCCTTTGGGTACATGAGACTGTGATAATTCATGGTGCTCTGCTCTAACCTGAGGAGAGTCACCTCTTCTTCTGCCTCAGGGGTGTCCACTTGACTGGCTGCAGAAGACACAGCTGGTGAAGGCAGGAAGAAAAAAATACAGACAGAAAAGATAGACTCAGGGTAGTAGATGTTTCCTAAGACCTACCCTGATTTCTTTTAGGTGTTGAGTCCAGAGCAGTAATTTTAATTTCACATCAGCTCTGACGAGTTTGGGGCGTAAACATGACTCTGCTTAAAAAATACACACACACACAGGGAAAGGCCTCCAGGAAATATTCTATTTAGTTCTTAATGGCACATTTAAATGTTAAAGCATAAATGAATAATTAAAGATGAAAACATAATTGTATAAATTGATAGCCAGTGCACCATATTAGGCATGAAGATACCATGTTTCATTTTTATAATCTTAATCTTTACTCTGTCTATTCTACTCTGTGTAGTGGAGGAATGTCAGAGTATGAATTTTATTTCCTCAAGGCAGAGGCTAACCCATTTTAAGGGTGGTAGGGGGAGTGAGGCAAGGGGCCCTTTAGGCAGCCTTCTCAGCCTGTTGTTTGTGAGGCATTACATCTTCAAGAATTTTCCTTAAGTACCCTGGAGAGACAGCATACCTTAAACCATATGAACTACCCCATCTAGTCTCAAAGAGGCAGCATATTGTGGGGGAACAGAGCTGAGTCAGGGGCCTCACCCCCAGTAAGCCGCATAACCTCTCCAGGCCTCAGTTGCTGCCTCAACTTCTGAAAGATGAAGAGCTTTGCTCATTTGATCTCTAAGGTTTCCTGTAGCTTTAATATTGTTAGTGATCATGTAATACTTGAGCAGTTGAAATTAAGAATAGGGATCATAATAGGAGTTAGGAAACAGAGTGAGGAAGAAAAATGGGGACATTGGCAGGGAGGAAAAGAGCTTTAGCTAGCCACCTGGCACAGCATAGGTATGTAAGAAGCTTTGGAAGAATGGAACTAAGCCCAGACAGAGGAAGCGGGAAATGTCATCCTCGATTCCAGTTCTCACCTACTTCCTATTCTCACTGTGAGGGCCCCCGGGCTGCACTGCTAGGTGGAAGCATAGGTGGGGCTGGGAAGATACCACTTCAATTCTTGCCTACTCAAGAAGCCTCCAAGGAAGCCCCGGGGCTTCTCTGAGCCCAGCTTGACTACCTGAGATGCAATGGAAGGAAGGACAGGCAGACCAAGGTCATCTGCACCCGGGCTCTCCCACTGAAGAGCTGAATAAATTTGAGCAAGTTATTTAAGCTGTCTAAAGCCTTAGTTTCCTCATCTGTGTCATTATACCACCCTGTAAAGTTGCGAAGATTAACAATATTTTCTTTATGCCGCCTGGTATTGGAAAGCGAGCAATCAATGATCAGTAACCAACATAATTGTACTTGTTGCTGTTACCATAGTTATTATTGCTGTATCTGTCTTGAGGAACCATGGGTTGCCTTGGGATGGCAGCTCTCTAGAACTGACTTGCCGATGTGGACCTAGGTCATATGGAGAAATTGTGTAGAAAGAACTTCCAATTACTCTATCATCTTGTATTTAGTGGAGCAGAGACATTTCCAGAAAGGGAGGAACAGACTTTAAATTGTACCCAGGGAGTGCATCCTGAAAGAATAATATGAACCAATGCTTCAGCTCAGCTCCAAAGACAGGTGTGTACCACTGTGTGGTGTTACACAGGTTATCTTTCCTAATGCAGACCTAGGGGACGTGAATAAATTCTTTGAAAATGGTTTGTAGGAGGACTAAACGAGACAGCATATGAGAAGCGCTTGAGAAGGGATTCTGGAAACACAGCTACCTGAATGCAGCCTCCTTCCTTTCCTGAGAACTCCAACTGTTTAGCTCTCTGGATTCAAGTGGCTAATGGAACTTACTGGCAAGTGAGTGTAAGTGAACTGTGAGTTCTGCTGGGGTCCTGGGGAAAAAACTGCAAGGGGCTTCCTCTCCTGTGGTCTGGGCAAGCAGTTGGTTAATAGCATTGAGCCTAAGAGCTAGGACTCCAGCCATATAATAAGATCTGTGTATGGATCTCTAATGTCAGTGCCAATCTTACATTACTGGAAAGTACAATAGAACTTCCAAACAAGGAGAAAAAGATGGAGTGAATCGTAAATTAAATGAAACAGCATAATTTAAAAAAAAGAAAAAAGCAAATTGTGAGGTCAAATAACCAATAAAGTTAAAAGGAAGAAATAAAATCAGGTATATTCATTATAATACTACATGTAAGTGAAAGTTTTAAAGACAGAAACTCTCAGATTGGGTTAAAAAGAAAACAAAAAAGACTTTTATATAGTGTATAAGGAACCTGCAAAAAATAAAGTAATATTGAAATTATTTTATTAAAAAAGAGATAGTTCGATAAATAAACACTAGGCAAATGCAAACAAACAAAAAAAAGCAGGAGCAGCAATATTAAAATTATTCAAAATGGAATTTAAGGTAAAAGGCACCAAACAGGTTAAAGAAGAACATCACATTATAGAGTTTCAGTAGGAAAAGAGTAAGAAAAAGAAGTAAAAGCAATATTTTAATAGATGTTAGACAAGAATTTTCAAGAATTGATGAAAGACATCAAGTTACTTATTGAAGAATTACTATGAACACCAATCAGAATATATAGTAAACCACATACAGGTGCATCATAGTAAAACTGCTTAAAAACAAAGACAGGGGCCAGCCCGGTGGCTTAGCGGTTAAGTGTGTGCGCTCCACTACTGGCGGCCTGGGTTCAGATCCCAGGCGCGCGCTGACGCACCGCTTCTCTGGCCGTGCTGAGGCAGCGTCCCACATACAGCAACTAGAAGGATGTGCAACTATGACAGACAACTATCTACTGGCGCTTTGGGGAGAAAAAGGGAAAAAAAAAAAAAAGGAGAAAGATTGGCAATAGATGTTAGCTCAGGGCTGGTCTTCCTCAGCAAAAAGAGGATTGGCATGGATGTTAGCTCAGGGCTGATCTTCCTCACAAAAAACAAACAAACAAACAAAAAACTAGGAAAAAAAATAACAAAGACGGGAGAAAAGCATTTAGACAACCAGAGCCATATTTTGGTTGTTTTAATACAGCAGAGAAATGATAGAAGCCAGAAGAGAGTGGAATGATATGTTTCACAAGAGAACGTAACACAGAAAATGGAGGGGAGGGAGAATGGAGTTTAAAAATTCTAAGGTTGCAACACTGCTAGGGAAATGGGGAAAAAGCGATCACTTTTATTATACTGTAATAAGTCAAGCTTTCTCACTGGATACAAAAGGAAAAAGCAAATGTTTCTAGCTGCTTGCTAGAAACATGCATTAAACATAAGATTGAAAACCAAAGGTAGGGAAAAAATCTGCAATCCAAACACTTAACAACAGTGATGGGATCACCTTCAGACAAGGTAAGACTGTAAGAAAGGGGCATTATTAGAGATGAAGAGAGATGTTCCATAAGGACTAAATATTAATCTACTGGGAGTATATAATGATTCGAAATTTATATGAATCCAGTGATATGGTGAGAGCAGACCACTGCCTCTTCTGAGAGAGAACATGACTGGACCCCACTGACTAGGTGCCGCTGATGGAACTGGGTCAAGTGTGGGATGTGGAATCTTACTGCTAGATGACTCTGGTCTTCTCTGCTGCTAATATGAGTTCCTTTGATGTCTGGGCAGTGGCTAAAGATGATTATTGTGTTTATATTGACCATTTCTCACTAGACAGAAACCTGGGGTGGAGGCTAAGAGACTCTGGGTGCTAACTTACACTAAGTAAGGATATGGCCCAAGGTTAGGAGATTATACAAAAATATCTTCCTTGCCTTCAAGCAACTTAAACTGTGGGGAAGACCAACCTATAAAAGTAACTAACATACAAGGCTTAGTAGGATAAGTGAGATAAAAAATGGTAGAAGCAAAAGCATACACAGCATGGGGTGCTAAGTGTCATAAGTAGAGTTACAAATAAAGGCAAAACTGAAGTATGAAAAAATGAGTTCAATGTCGCTAATTCAAATGCAGGGTGAGAGAAACCCAGGATTTTACTCCACATCCAGTGCCGGAATTGCCTCAAGCTTAAAATGCAATAACACGCTATCTCCACGGGTCCTGTTAGTCAGGACATCACACACCCTTGATCCTTGCATCTAAGTATAGCTTGAAATCTATTTTTTACATTATGATTTAGCAAAAGAAGTATGTAGAAGATCAAACTGTAAAGAACGTGGAAGTTCCTGGGAGACCCTCAGTTCATGCAGCTTTCCGTGGGAACCGTCTTGCTCGGCAGAGGAGTCTGATTTCTCCATTCTCCGCTGAGCCTTCCGTAGGTGTGAGTCTCTTTGGAGGGGATGCAGACCCAGCGCTCTCACCGCCTTCAAGGACTGCCGTGCTGAGTCAGCTCCACAGGACAAAAAGAATGCAGTTGAGACAAACTGCAGCTTCCCAATAGCAGCCTACTAGCCCCTCCATGTGAAACTGCAGGGCAGAAATCTAAAGGAAACATCGGGGACTTCAGAAAATGGCTGGTAGAATAGTTATTCTATTTAGTTACCACAGTGCCTGATGTAAACCAGGCCCAACTGACTCCAGCAACCCCTCTTTTCCCATCCAGCTGAATATAAACCCAGCCCACGGCTCTCAGTTTAAAAAGTAGCCTTATAGTCTCTGCAGAAATGGCAGGCCAATTGAAACTCTTTGACGGCAAAAGTTATGCCCAGAATAAGATAGGGATGCCAAGCACTAGGAATATAGCAATGACCAAAACAAAATTCCTGACCTCAGGGAGCTTAACCTCTACTTGAAAACAGACAATAATTATATATTATAAGATATAATATGTTGGGGGGCTAGTCAATGCTATAAGGAAAGAATAAAGCAGGGTAGTAGAGATTGGGAGTGTCAGAGAGTGAGTAAATTACTATTTTTATGTAGGTGGTCAGGGAAGGCCCCAGTGATAAGGCGATGTTTGAGCAGAGGCATGTAGAAAATGAGGAAACCAGCCACTAGGCTATCTGGAGGACGAGCAGAGGACCAGAAGTCCAGCAGAGGGCACAGTAAGTGAAAATGAGATGGAGCTTGCATAGCATGTTTAAGGAACAGCAAGGAAGCCAGTGTGGCTAGTCAGAATGGGATGATAAAGGAGGAGATGGTAGGAGGGTAAGAGATGATGTCATAAAAGGGTAGGAAAGGGAAGATCACAAAGTCTTATTGCGCATGGTAAGGACTCTGGCTCTTATCTTGAATGAATCCATTGGAG